TAATCTGTTATTCAATTTGCCTTATTCTTTAACCTTATCTTATCTTAAAAATCTTAAAATTTCAAAATCACATCACATTCCTACATTTCTCCTTAAAATCATTTCTACTAAAGCCAATTTGATTCCTTTCCAGCATATTCCCTCAAATTTCATTAATATTAGACAAATTTCATTAATAATAATCTAATTCCAAATTTAACATAAAAAATTCTATAATTTTCATCCAGCGTCCCATCTTCCTGGTTTCAGTCATGTCAGTCCTTTCTATCCGTTACATAGTCCATCAATCTGGTGTTCTGATATCCGAGGCCCTTAAATCTCTTCTAGGCCCCCTCTGCAAATTTTTTTGTTCTTGTTTGTGCTTACACAGTTCTTTGTCTATTGTTGGTCTCTGAGGGAGTGGGTCTCCGGAGGGTTCCATCCAGTAATAATTTCCACTTTCCTTCATTATATTGTCTCCTTCCCCGAGTCCCACTCCCAATCTTCTTCTTTATAATCCAAAAATATGTATCCAGAAGATGGTTATTCACCTGTTTCACAGTCACACTAGAGTTAAAGACTTCCTTAACTTCAAATGCTTCCCAGCACTCTCCAAAATCAATCTTCCAACGCAGTAGCTCTTTTTCCTGCAAAACTTTGGGTCTTTCCATTTGTGTTGTATAAGAAATAGCTACTGCCTCTTCCTCCTCCATCTGCCCTTGGACTTGCCTTATCAAACCAGGTTCATTCTTATTCCCTGTTGAATCATGTTGGTTGGCCACAGCACTCATAAAATCCAGTTTTTCATTCATCAGACTCACTTTCTCGTGCAGCTGCTCCAGCAAAACATTAGTCCTACCAAGGGCAGACACCAAACTTTCCTGCCAAAACATTTCTATTCCAGAACAAGGTCAAACAGCTGTTCCCACGATCCAAATCTCACATATGCAAACTGCAACCGCAAACTGGCAGGCTCCCTCTAGAGGACACAATTTCTGATTGTAGCCATTTTTTTTTTAAAGTATCCAACAAAGAAAGCTACTTTCAATTTCAAGTCCTTTCAATTTCAAATACTTTGTTTCCTTAAACAGCAAAAATGCAGAAGGTAGCGTTGAAGTTAATTTGTTTCTTTTTTTCCTTTTTAACTATCTGTCAAAAGTGCTCCACTTTCAATCAATGGACGTCTCAAACAATTTCTGTCCCGACACCCCGTCCCCAGGTTTGGGACGGTGGAAACTTACGTTCCTTTTCTCACTTCCTGCAGGATTAAGCTGTCAAATCCCCCCCCCCTCTCCTGCTTCCAAGGGGGTTTGTTGGTTATGGGTGCAGGAAATTTCCAACTTTAAAAGAACTTTTCAGGCTGTTAGGTTACAAGATCTTTGCTTTAAGCTGTATACAAGGACGGGAGGCGGACTTCCTGTTTACACCATTCCCGCTTCGTGCCTAATTTCATAATTTTAAAGATTTCTTAGTCCAATTCTCCGTTTTTACTCACGGGTACTTGATTTAGAGTCCAAATGTCATCAGGAAAAAGTCAGCGCTCTCCGGCGATGGCTGCGCGGCTTCCCTCCATGGAAGTAGCAATCAGTTCGCAGCACCGCGCTGCTCCACCCGCTTCACTCCGGAGCCCCGAAAAAGGGTTTCCTCGTGAGTAGGGGAGGCGCTTTGGTGCTCTGCCGAACCCCACGTTCCCAGGCTTCTCCCGCCTGGGATTTCTAATGGGCCCCCGCCTTCGCCGCGGCGGGAAGCCCCTGCTTCCACGGAGACCGTTCCTCCAGTCGGAGGAACTCCGCCATTCACCGATGGCGCTGACCCGGAAGTCCTGATGCGCTATGTTTAAATTCACTCTCAAACACCACATACTGAGCAGGGGACAAAAGCATGCGCATCAGGTCTTTCCAGTCCTGAGGTAGCATAATGTAACCAGTTGCTATGCCTTCTAGCATCCCTGTCACATAAGAGGATTTTAGACCAGAATCAGCAATGGCTTTCCTTAATTCTCTCATTACAGAATAAGGAAGCGATTCATAAAAAACCTGCTGTTGAGCAGTTCCAGGGTTTGAATAGGAGATAGGGAAAGCAGACGGCATTTCACCTGGCCACTCAGACTCCTCCTCTAAGGACAGGAGCCCTTTCTGCCTGGCCAAAGAGAGCGCAGCGCGCACAGCTCCTATAGAGCAAACAGGGGCTGTGGCAGACGGAGAAGGGATGGGGGGGAGGAATCAGGCTGAGGTGGAGGGATGGGGGGGAGGATGCAGTCTGAGGAGGGAGAGACGCAGGGAGGGATTGGCTGGGCTGCAAAGGAGAAGGAGGCAAAAGTTGCGGGTAAGGTGGGGGATTGTCTGCGATGGCTAGAAGTGCAGGGGCCGAGCGAGACGCCTGTGGTAATTTAGCAACGGCATCTGCACATTTCTGCCAAGTGAGCAGACAATGAATCGGAGCCCTAGGTTCTGCAAAAAGGGTCTTTCCGATCTTTTGCCAAGTCTCTACTTCCAAAGAACCTTTCTCTGGATAGGAGGGATATTGGCAAGAAATCTCACATAGCAATTGTTCAATTACTTTTAAGGAAATATTAACACCCACCTCCCGCTGTCTAACTAAATAAAGCAATTCTTTAGCATGCTCTTTCTGGAATTTAGTCAATTCCCCTCCCATACTCACGAAGTAGCTGAGACTTTTCCAGTCGGGTGAAGTATGAGGTTTGGCTGCGTAAGGGATCTGGCACGTCGGGGTCACCAGATGTTGGGTTGAAATCATGACAGACGAGTGGTAGGTGTCAAAGGAGAGTGTCTCTCGGGGCGAGCCCGGGAACTCTCTTTATTGAATATTACAAACATTGCCACAGGTGTGCTTGTGGCTGATTGGTTGATACAAACACAAAGCATCTTGTTGCTGATTGGTTAACATAGGTACAAGGCGGGAATAACATATGTCCATTTATCATTGATAGATCAAAGGATGAGAAATGGAGCTAGAACTAGACAGGCATGAAACCTCCTAATTAAATTATAACTAAAGATTAATATTGAGAGAACATAACATGAAGGAATACAACAATCACGTTCCGTAGATGTGGTCAGCAATGCATTAAGAACAGGTCAGGATACACTGTTTCATGAACTCAATGGGAACTGTTCAGAACATTCTCAGACTCTTGTGCAGAAGCAGAAGCGAGACTTCCCAGAATGCAAGAGAAAAGAAGCAAGACTTCCCACAATGCCACAGTTATGTGCAGTAAGAGAACTGCAGAAAGAAAACTTCCCTTCACAGGACTCTAGGGGAGATGTTCGCAGCTCTTTTGTTTGATGCCGGGCTCCCACAGCGTTTTTGGGGGGAGGCTTGGCGAACGGCCAACTTTATTCTGAACAGGTCGTTCAATTCAGTGGTAGGTGACACACCGTACTTCTTGCTGCATGGGAAGAAACCGAAAGTGCACTACTTCCGCGTTTTTGGCTGTGAGGCTTGGGTCCTCATACCAAAGGCCAAACGCAAGAAAGGTGAACCCAAGTCCCAAAAGATGATTTTTTTGTGGGTATGAGCCAGGGACCAAGGGGTGGAGGTTTGCGTATCCGTCAGGGAATCAGTCCAGGATTCTGCTCAGCAACAGTGCTGAATTCTGTGAGCAGAGTGGCTGGGCAAGGATACATGGGAACCCTGACATCCTGTCAGAGAGTCTGCTAGACTCTGCTGATGAAGGAGAGGAAGAGGTTGAACCTGCTACTGAGGCTCAGAGTCCAGACCCAGTGCGGGCAGAGGGGAGAACGTCTCCCAAGACTGTGAAGTTTGAGCAACGCAGTGCTCCATCTTCCCCCACAGGTTCGGCTGAGAAGTCCAGAAGGCGCAGTAAGTCAGAGGGGGAGCTCTCTGATGCCAAGGACGTTCTGGCTGGCCCTAGTGGGTCAGAGGGGTTCCTGAAGTAGTGCTGCGCCGTTCAGCGCGGACGACCAGGGAAACCTCCTGAAAGGTTTGCCATCACTAGCGTGTGGGTCGGAATGGCACAGTGTGAACCCGAGAGTTTTGAGGATGTTCAGAAACTGCCTCAGGAAGAAGCCAGGAAATGGCATGAGGCGATGCAGAAGGAGATGAACTCAATGGAGTCTCTAGGTGTGTTCTCCCTCACGAAGTTGCCGGTGGGTGAACAGACAGTGGGTAGCCACTGGGTTTACCCTCTTAAGCCCACAGCGACAGGAGAACCACAGTATAAGGCCAGATTAGTGGCGAGAGGATTCACGCAGCGCAGGGGGTTGCATTATACGGAAATTTATGCTCCCACGTGTAGGAGTGAATCTCTACGCTTGGTCTTGGCCATCGCTGCACAAAGAGGTTTGCTGGTGCATCACTTTGATGTGGATGTTGCTTACTTGAACTCAGACCTCCAGAAGGATCTGTACATGCTTCCTCCTCCAGGGTTTGAGGGCAATGAGCAAGGTACTGTGTGGAAACTTCACAAGTCAATTTACGGCCTGAAGCAGTCGGCCAGGAATTGGAACTTGTGCCTGAATGAAGCTTTGGAGAAGCTAGGTTTCAGGAAGAGTCTTGCTGACAGTTGCCTGTTCCTTAGAGGATCAGGAGACTCACAGGAACTGGTGTTATTTTACGTTGATGACATCATCCATGTTGGAAAGGCAGACAAACAGGTGCAGAAGTTTGCCAAAGAGCTTGGGAAACGGTTTCAGCTCAAGAACCTGGGTGCAGTAAAGATCTACCTAGGCGTCCAGATAGCGAGAACTGAGGTTGGTAGCTTCTTGCTCAGTCAGAAAGGCAAGACTGAGCAGTTGCTTGAGAAGTTCAGAATGTCCGATTGTGCAGGAGTTTGGACACCCATGGAGACGAACTTCGTGAAAGATAGCCAGCAAGCAAAATGTGCTGAGTTTGAGAATGCTGAGCTCTTTCAGTCAGTTCTAGGTAGTCTGTTGTATCTGTCCCAATGGAGCAGACCAGACATTGCCTTTGCTACCAACCTGCTAAGTAGGGAAGCGTCAAAGCCCAGTGTGAGTGCTTGGCACGGTATCAAGCGGGTACTGTTAGTTTCTGCTTTCCTTCACTGTGCAGCTCTGCTTGTCACGAGACAGGTGTTTACATTCCACAGTCTGTACTGTTGGAGTTTCTCACGGGAAAGGGAGACTGGATGTGACGTACACTGGTTTCCTGTTTTTCACTGTGTGATTCTCTCCGAGCTGTCGAGGAGAGAGGATGCATTTTCTGCTCTTGCAGAGGCAAGATGTCTTTCTGTAATATACCAGCTTTGAACTGTAAATAAAGCAATATAGAGTATGTAGCACGTACGCCTCATCCTTCCGCTGGGCACGAGACTCTGCTTAAATCAACACGTGGTTATGGGCTCCAGAGGTCGAATCGGAGTGCCGGCAGAGGATCGGAATGCAGAGGGACAGATCGGAACGGAATCTGCTCTGCGCGTAGAAGTGATTGATGAGGTATGTGCTACTGCTCCGGGCAGCCTGCCAGCTTCAAGTTAATGGCTTTATGGCTGGACTTTGAACTTTTAAAGCCGGTTTTGCCGGGAATAGGCAAAAGGCTCCCAGGCACAAGTCACTATGCTGGGGAAATCGAAAGTAACTTTTAAGTGCGCCTTTGTAATAAGGCAGCTGCAGCAGTGACGCAGCAAGATTTAAAGCAGCATATGACGCTGAAGGCTAATGCCAGAGTCATGATGGCCCTTCAGGATGCTTGTGGGATTCCTAAGCTCAACAAGAAAGATTATGCCGACTGGGTTCAGTATGCAGAGGCAATTCTGCGGAAAGAGGGTTTGTTTGAGGTGATTACAGGAACCCCCCCAGTTCCAGTTACAGATGCATGGGAAGCTAAGGATTCCAAAGCAAGGGGAACTCTTACATTGATAGTATCCCCAGAAGAGCTCTGTCTATTGCGTGATAAGACCTCAGCCAGAGAAATTTGGGACGCTTTGAGAGAGGCTCACTTAAGGACAGAAGCTGGATCCACTATGTTTTATTTTAACAAGCTGCACAATATGGCTCTTGCTCAAGGTGGAGATGTGCGTTTACATCTGATGAAGATGCAAAATCTGAGACATGAGCTGCAACAGAGAGGACTCAACTTTCCAGAGGCTGTGTATTCTTTCATGATACTACAATCTTTGGGTTCAGGTTGGGAGTCTGTTGCAACCCAGATTGCTGTGCAACCAACTGCTCAGCTGACAGTGGACTTTGTTACTGCCGTGATTTTAAATGAAGCAGATCGCCGGGTGCTAGCTGCATGGGCAAGGGGAGTCTTCACAGACGTCATCCCATAGTGCAGTGGAACCACCAGATGGCGCCAAAGCTTTGAAGGCAGTGAAATGCTACTCGTGTGGACGTCTAGGCCATATGAAGAGGGAATGCAGACATCCCAGGGCCAAGACAGAGCAGCGCAGCGAAAGCTCATCGCGCGGAAAAGGCCGAGGCAAAGGCAAAGGTCCGGTGTCTAGGACAACGCAGCACAAGGCTATGGTTTCACGCTTCACTCCAAAGGTTGCAGAGGTCCAGAAGACGTCTAGATCTTTCTTCGTTGTTGATTCAGCGGCCACCCACCACATGTGCAACGATAAGAGACTGTTTGTGTCTTTTACACCGCAGGAAGGTGCGATTCACCAGGCGGATGACCACACTATTCCCAGTAAAGGCTACGGAACTGTTGTTCTTCACAGTTTGGACTTATCGATACAGAATGTGCTTTACGTGCCAGACGCCAAACATAATCTGCTCAGCGTTGGACAGCTGAATGAGCGGAACATTGACGTTTCCTTCAAGAACAAGAAGTGCATCATCACAAAGAAAAATGATTATGTATTGCATGCAGAATATGTTGATCATTTGTTTGTTTTGTATTATGATGATGTGGTGCAGGATGACACTTGTTGCATTGCAGGTTCTAACAAAAGTTTGCATGCAGAATGTATTCACGATTTTCATCGAAAATTTGGTCATTTGCATTTTGAGGCAGTATCTAAAATGCCTGCCTTGGTTGAAGGTATGACTATTAAACCCTGCAGGTACCACATGAAGTGCAAAGCATGCGCAGCAAACAAGGTGAAAATGGCTGCGAAAGGTAAGGTGTCTAGTAGGAAAGCTACAGAACCATACCAGGTTGTTCATGCTGATTTGGTTGGACCACTAGCGCCCTCTTTGGGTGGAAATAGATACTTCATGGTTCTCATTGATGCATTTTCTAGATATATTTTTGTGTACAATCTCAAGCAGAAATCGGAGGCTTTTCCTAGGTTCAAGGAATTCTGTGCTTGGTTGGAAAATGTGCATGGTAAGAAGATAAAGACTCTTTTCAGTGATCGCGGGGAATTCACTTCTCAGCAGTTTGAAGCTTTTCTGACTGAGAAAGGAATTCAACACGATTTGTCTAGTCCTCGCTCGCCATGGCAGAATGGACTTGCGGAACAGGCAAATCAGACATTGCTTCAAGGGTTAAAAACCTTGCTGCATGATGCCAATCTTCCAGAGAGTTATTGGGCCGAATCTCTCTCGTGTTTTGTTTACAGTTACAATCGCCGGTTATCTTCAGCGATTGGTTGTACCTCTATGAGAAGATGTTTGGCAAGAAGCCATACATCAAACACATGAAGATTTTGGTTCTGACATGTGGGTTCGCTCACCACAAAACTCCAAGTTAGACAAGCGTGGATTGCATGGTATCTTTCTAGGTTATCAGAAAGGGTCTTACAGAATAATGATGACTGACTCTAAGACAATTAAGCTCACGAGAAGTGTTGAGTACAATGCAAAGTGGGGGAGAATGTGGGAATTTTCCAATGTTATCCTGATGACGGTGATGAGACTGAGGATAGTCAAAAGCAACCACAACAGCCCACACCCACTGATGAAGGTTCTGAGTCTGAATCTGAAACTGAATCGGGTGATTCAGAGGATTTCAAGAGTGCGAAAGCCTCTGTGCGACCCTCTGAAAGCTCTGATCAAGAATTGGAGGAACCATTGTTCACAATAGGTCGTTTTTCTCCTAAGAAGGAAGAGGAGAGTGTTGAAGACTTAAGGCTAATTCGTAGGTCACAGAGAGCCACAAAAGGCAAACCTCCAAAGAGATTTGCTGATGAGTTTGCTAAGATAGCAGTAACAGCTGTTAAAAGCTCCAAGAAGGTATTTGAACCTTCAAGTTTCCAAGAAATCCAGGGTTTGGATTCAAAGGAAGCTAAGCCATGGTTAAATGCCATGAAGGCTGAGCTTGATTCCTTAGAAAGGAACAAAACATGGGAGCTAGTTCCAGTAGTTCCAGGAATGAAACTGCTTGGAAGCAAATGGGTCTTCAAAGCGAAGACAGATCAAAATGGCAAGATAGTCAGACACAAAGCCAGATTGGTAGCCAGAGGTTTTGCACAGGTACCAGGTGAAGACTATCACGAGACCTATTCACCCACAGTGAGATATGAAAGCATTAGGCTTATGCTCAAGCTAGCTGCAGAGGAAAATCTACACATTAGTCACCATGATATTAATACAGCTTTTCTGTACGGATCTCTAGATGAATCACTTTATATGCTTCCACCTGATGGCGTACAGGTAAAACAGGGATTTGTTTGTGCTCTGAAGAAATCCCTTTATGGTCTCAAACAAAGTGCACGGTGTTGGCATACAAAACTCACTGAAGTATTGTTTTCTCTAGGTTTTCAGCAAGGAAAGCTGATCCATGTGTATTTGTCAAAGAGGAGGGGCAAAAGAAACTGTACTGTTTGTTTTATGTTGATGATTTATTATTCTTTTGGAAAGATGTTGCAATGTACAATAGCGCCCTAGCTCAACTGAAAGAGCACTTTGACATGAAAGATCTTGGTGAGGTAAACAACTACCTATCTCTGGAAATAGAGAGAGATCAAGATGGTAACATTCTAGTACACCAGTCACGGAAAATTGCTGATGTGTTAAGCAAACTAAATCTGATGGATGCTAACCCTGTAGACACACCGATGACAACAGGTTATCAGGTAGATGACACTGAAGAAGCATTTTCTGACACCACACTGTACAGGAGTGTGCTAGGCAAGCTAAACTTCATTGCCAGATGTTCAAGACCAGACATTGCTGTTAGCTGTAATTTGCTAAGCAGACAAGTCAACAATCCTAGTGTCAAGGATTGGAAAGCTCTGAAACGCATAGCGCGGTATTTGAAAGGCACTATGCATTACAGACTGAGATTTAACAATCAGAAGTCTGGTGGTCTTGAGATATTTGCAGATGCAAGTTTTGGAAGTGACACTACAGACAGGAAAAGTACGTCTGGAGTTTGCTACATGTACAATCAGAGTCTGTTTGATTGGTCATGCAAGAAGCAAACAACAGTTAGCTTAAGTACTTGTGAAGCTGAACTGAATGCACTGTCTTATTCACTTAAGGATTGTGAATGGTTAGTACAATTGTGCAAAGATATGAAAATTCCTGTCAAATGTCCAATCCAGGTTTACCAGGACAACAAAGCATGTTTGGCTTTGCTGAAGTCTGAAGGTTGTAAGCAAAGCACAAAGCACTTGCAATTAAAGTTGCAGCATGCTAGGGAATGTATTCAGAAGGGACTCGTAACGGTGTCCTATATGCCAGGTAATGAAATTCCTGCTGATGTATTGTCCAAGATTGTATCAAGGGATCAACACTGTACCTATGTGCAGAAGTTGGGTTTGTACTGATATTGTGCAAACACGCTGCCCAGTGATGTTCACAGAAAGGGGGGGATGTTGGTTTCTGCTTTCCTTCACTGTGCAGCTCTGCTTGTCACGAGACAGGTGTTTACATTCCACAGTCTGTACTGTTGGAGTTTCTCACGGGAAAGGAGACTGGATGTGACGTACACTGGTTTCCTGTTTTTCACTGTGTGATTCTCTCCGAGCTGTCGAGGAGAGAGGATGCATTTTCTGCTCTTGCAGAGGCAAGATGTCTTTCTGTAATATACCAGCTTTGAACTGTAAATAAAGCAATATAGAGTATGTAGCACGTACGCCTCATCCTTCCGCTGGGCACGAGACTCTGCTTAAATCAACAGGTACTGCGCTACCTGCAGCATACCAAAGACTTCTGTCTTAAGCTGCCAGCTGAAGGTGAGGCGAAGCTCACATGCTATGCGGACAGTGACTGGGCGAATTCGCAGGACCGCAAGTCTGTGTCTGGATTGGTGGTAAAGTTTGGTAAATCACTAGTTGGGTGGAAGCCCCGGAAGCAAAGTCTCATTGCGCTGTCTTCTACTGAGGCTGAATTCAGTGCACTGTCAGATTTGTGCCGGGAACTAGAGTTCTATAGATGCTTGGTGCAAGAGATCTATGGGGATTGTAGCTTGCCCATCACGGTTTGGGAAGACAATCAACCCTGTTTGAAATTGGCTGAATCTGCGCAATTTAAGGCCAGAACCAAGCATCTGGACATACGTTTCCAAAATGTGTGTCAGAGTGTTCAGTCAGGTTTGATACGACTGAAGTACTGTGCCAGTCACAGTAACCTGGCTGATGGATTTACCAAACCTTTAAGCTTCCAGCGTCATGGGGAGTTTTGTGGTGGTTTGGAGTTGGGGGTAAGTTCTGTACTTACTTTCCCCACAGTAGCACAGAGCGAGAGGGGGTGTGAGGAGAACCTGAGCTTACAGGGTTAAACAGCTCAGAGTGTACGCTCTGCGTACTGTTGAGAGGAGGGGGGAACTTCTGCGTCATTTCCGAGAGCCTCAAGCCTTTGTTCTTTCTCTCTACTTTCGCTTTTGAGGAGAGAGGACGTGTTTTCGCGATGCTGTTCGCTGTGATAGATAATGGATAGTCTGCTGTAAATAAAACTGCTTTTAGCTGCTAAGATCCTGAGTGGACTTTATTTAAGCACACTGAAGAATGCACTGGAGTGTTTTGCAGTCTTCCTCTTGCCGCTGTCGATCTCTGCTATGTGGACTTTGGAATGCCGGCCAGAGGTGTGCGCGATGGGGAAGCGTGCCGGACGCTTATCTGAGCAATAAATCAATCGCCTGACAATATCCTTAACACTTGGGTTTTTTGTTCTCCAGGCATCATATAAATTAAAATTTTCAGTTAAATGATTAATGACCTGAGCCTTTGATGAGGCTCCAAGCACGTTCCCCATTACACAGAGTATACAGCAGCATGAGGAAGGACGAGTTTGAGCTACATTGCAAAGAGTTTTATTTTCCTAACTACGCAGACAGAAAAGAAACATCCTCTCTCTGTGAGAGCAGAGAGACAACTGAAAAACAAAGGAACAGGAAACAGTAACATCACATCCGTCTCCCATCTTCCGTGAGACTTCCGACAGCCTGGAATGTCTGGTATGCAAAACAGAGTCCTGTGACTCCAAGCAACTGCGCAGTGGCACAAACAGAAACTAACAGGTATCTGATAATGGTCCCTGATTGCATTACTTGGGAAGTCTGGCCATTCCTTTGTGATGGGAAATACTCCGTTCCTGAATCCAGGTCCCAGGCTCATCCTATTCATATCTTAAATGTGCCCTTAAGGTAGGATTTGTGAGCACAGAGACAACAGGGAAGGTTTTCCCATTTCCATCCAAACTGCAGAGGAAGATTTGTGGTCACTGGGAATGTCCAAATGGTTTCAGAACTGTCTTCCTGTACTGTTTCAGACATGCAGTTTATATATGTGTTTGCCTTGTACAATTATGAACCTTTAATCTATATATTTTAGACCTTCAATTCTTATAACAATCCCCCCTCTGGGGCTATATTTTTTACTAAAAAATGTTGCCCCACAAATAAGAACCTGGTATCCACCTGACGATATGTTGTAAATAGATGCTTTTGTGTAAGTCTGAAGAGTCTTGCATGTCAGGCCTCTGAAGGCTATTCACAAGTTGCTTATTATGGTCAATTCTTGCCTTTCTTCTGAGGAGCTCAAGCATCTCAGCAATACAGAGAGTTCGGTTAGGTTGAGGAGTCGTGAGCAACTCATTCAAGGCAATTCTGCACTCTTCACAGCTGAGAGGGAACTTAGAAGAACTTTGGTGGAACCGGAGAGAAAACTGCATAGTTTCTCCCCCAGTGCCCCTTCTGTACCTCTGAAGGTTTGGTGCCCAGGGGCTCTTACAATCACAGAAGAGGGAGGGAGGGAGAGAGAGGGAGGGAGGGAGGGAGGCGGGGCCTCCTGTGCAGGGATTCCTCAGGTTAAGCCTCTGAATCAGATTCCCAGGCCATCACACCATCCCCTCTCCCAGCCCCCCCCTCAACTGAGGGTCCGGACCCGGCTTGCTGGGGTACGCCGCATGGAAATCACGGAGGCAGGCAGGTGCATGGACTTTGGCCGCTGGTTCCCAGGAGCGGTCGTCGGGCCCATACCCCTTCCAGTTGATGAGATATTGGAGCTTACCCCTGTGGTATCGTGAGTCGAGGATGCGCTCCACCTCGTACTCAGGCTCCCCCTGAACCAAAACTGGCTGCGGTCGGGGTCGGTTCGGGTGAAACTCGTTGGGCGGGGCCACCAGACTCAGAAGGGACCTGTGGAATACCGGGTGAACCTTCAGGGTTACGGGCAACCGGAGACGGAATGCCACAGGCGAGACCTGGTCCACGATAGGAAACGGGCCGGTGAAGCGGGCGTCCAGCTTCCGTGAAGGCCGAGAGGGGTGGAGGTGGCGAGTGGAGAGCCATACCAGGTCGCCGACGCGGAGTTCCGTCCCCACCTGGCAGTGGCGGTCGGCCTGGGCCTTGTATGCATCCTTGGCCTGGCGCAGTTGCTCCATCAATAGTTGCTGCTGAGACTGGAGCTCCTGGAGCCAATCTGCCACTGCAGGGACTGCAGATGCCTGCAGCACATCCGGGAACAACCGCGGACGGTAACCGTAACTGGCCTGGAACAGGGTCTGCTGGGTGGATGCGTTCACCACGTTGTTGTAAGCGAACTCCGCCAATGCAAGGTGGTCGACCCAGTCATCCTGCTGGAAGCTGCAGTAACACTGGAGGTACTGCTCCAGCACCGCGTTTGCCTGTTCCGTCTGGCCATCGGTCTGTGGGTGGTAGGCTGATGATAGACAGACCTCTGTCCCGAGGGTCTGGTGCAACGCTCGCCAGAAACGGGATGTGAACTGAACGCCCCGGTCGGACACAACACGCTCAGGTAGGCCATGCAGGCGGAAGACATTCTGAAGGTATAGTTGAGCAGTTTCCTTAGCCGTGGGTACGGATGGGCAGGGGGCACAGTGCACCATCTTAGTGAAATGGTCTGAGAAAACCAGGAGGCAGGTACAGCGACGAGACGGGGGTAAGTCCACCACAAAGTCCAGCGAAACCGTGTGCCAAGGACGTGGTGGGACTGGTAACGGCTGAAGTAGGCCGGGGGGTCGCCCGGTAGAACGTCACAACCAGCGACTTAGCGAGCCATGTCAGCCTTCAGGTGGGGCCACCAAAACTCACGGCTTACCAGATGGGTGGTCCGATACCGCCTGAAGTGCCCCGCTGCTGGGGCATCATGGGTCATCCGGAGAACCTCAGCCAGCAGTGGTCCTGGCGGGATGTACAGGCGACCATGGTGTAGCAGTAGGCCCTGGTGCAAGACCAGCCCCGGATACTGAGGGCATGACCCTTCGGCCAGTTCCTGGAGTCGTTCTTGAGCCTAAGCGTCGACCCGTTGCTGTTCCTGCACCCGAGCCCACAGTGGCTCAGCCTCCTGAGCGGCCAGGAACGCGGCTGGTGGTAGAATCGTGGTTGGTACTGCTTGCTGTACCGTGTCTGCGACGTCTTCGGGTTTCCGGGACAGGGCATCCGCCTTCTGATTTTGGGAGCTAGGGATGTAGCGGATCCGGAACTGGAACCAAGAGAAGAACAGCGCCCACCGGATCTGCCTTTGGTTCAGCTTGCGGGTGGTTTGGAGGTATTCCAGGTTCCGGTGGTCAGTTCTCATTTCCACCGGGTGTCGTGCACCCTCAAGATGGTGGCGCCAGACCTCAAAGGCCACCTTGATGGCCAGTAGTTCCCGCTCCCACACGGTATAGTTACGCTCCGCCGGAAGGAGCTGGCGGGAATAGTAGGCACAAGGTAACAATGGCGCATCTGGTCCGTGCTGTTGGGACAAGACAGCACCGAGTGCCGTGCTGGAGGCGTCAGTCTCCACCACGAAGGGTCAAGAGGGATCAGGATGCTGCAAAATCGGTGCCCTCTGGAAACAGGCTTTCAACCCCTGAAACGCCTCCTCTGCCTCCCTGTCCCAGGAAAATGGCGTCTTGGGGTGCAGCAGTCGGGTCAACGGGGTGGTGCGATGAGCATAGCCTGCAATGAAGGTCTGGTAATAGTTGGCGAACCCCAGGAACCGCTGTAGGTCCTTGCGGTTCCGGGGTGCCGCCCACTCCCGAACCGCAGCCACCTTCCCAGGATCCATCTGCACCCCAACTGGAGAGAGTCGGTGACCAAGGAAGTCTACCGACCGCTGATGGAACTCGCACTTGCTGAGCTTAGCATACAGGTGGTGCTCCCGCAAGTGCTGCAGCACGGTCCAGACATGCCCCTCGTGGCTAGCCGGGTCACGGGAGAAAATCAGAATGTCAGCTAGGTACACCACCACGAACTTGTCTAGCAAGTCCAAGAACACGTGGTTGATGTACCGTTGGAACACGGCGGGCACGTTGCACAATCCGAAAGGCATTACCAGGTATTCGAACTGCCCATACCAGGTCCCGAATGCAGTTTTGCACTCATCCCCGGCTCGGATCCGAATCAAATTGTAGGCCCCCCAAAGGTCTAGCTTGGTGAACACCTGCGCCCCTTGCACCCGCTCCAGCAACTCCAAGATAAGGGGCAAGGGGTACCGGTCTGGGATAGTAATCTTGTTCAGGGCCCGGTAATCATGGCAAAGACGAAGCTCCCCACACTTCTTCTTAACAAAGAGCACTGGAGCGGCGGTGGGCGAGGTGGAAGGCCGAATGAACCCACGCTCCAGGTTCTTGTGAAGGAAGTCCTGCAAAGCTTCGCTCTCCGGCTCCGTAAGAGAGTATAGACGACTCACAGGCAGGGGCGCCCCGGGCTGGAGGTCTATGCTGCAGTCGAAAGACCGATGAGGTGGCAGCTGGTCTGCCCCCCGTTCCTCGAACACGTCTTGGTAGTCCTGGTAAACAGCAGGGAGCATCGACGCAGCCTCCCCAGTGGGGGCAGCCGCTAGCATCTCGGACCGAGCATGGGGACACGGGTCTGGGAAGTGCACAGTCCGATTGACCCAGTCGATCTGAACATTGTGAGACTCCAGCCAGTCCATCCTAAGCACCAGGGGAAACTGGGGCATGGTAGCAATGTCCAAAGTTTGCACCTCCCGGTGCTGCTGGTGACACAGAACCAAGGGCTGTGTCTCCTGAGTAACGGCGCCCGAGCGCAGGAGCCGACTGTCAATTGCCTCCACCTGTACCGGTTCCGACTTATCCTGGAGTGGCACCTGATGATGGGCGGCAAAGGCAGAGTCCATATACGAGCGGGTTGCCCCTGAATCCACCAGAGCATGGGTGAGAATCCAGGGCCCGCCAGGTGGGTATAGGCGCACCGGAACCATGAGGTGTCGCAATTCCACCAGTGAGGGCCCCTCTTGCATGGTTTGGGACCCCAGGTAGCCAAGGCCTTCGGCTACCGGGGTTGACGGTTT